TTGGTGGGGAAATCTGGGAACTCCCCAGAGAGGAAAGACCCCAACCAAAGTGCCCCCACTTCTGTCTTCCTCTGGCTGCCGCCCCCAGACATCAGGATAGAGAAGTGTCCGCCAGGGGACGGGGTGCTACCTGCCGGGCTCCGGGAGAGGCTGCAGCGCATCCCGCATGCTCTTGCACATTATTTATGCTCACAGCCTGCTCTGATGACATATGTAAGTTGACAGCGAACATCCTATCAACTTGCTGGAGTGTATCTTGATTGTTAAAACACACTCTTAAAGGTGTACCATCATTTATCAAATTAAAATAGGCGCGCCCCGCCTTGCCTGCCCACCCCCTGCAGCCTCCCTCCATCTCCAGCCTCCTGGGCATCCCGCCCTTGCACCCAGGCCCCACTCCTTGCTCCTGGCTCCACGGGAGACACTGCCTCTGCTTCCAGGGACCCGGGCCTGGCGCCCCCTCCCCATCCCGCCCCAGGCCAGGGCAAGCCCACTAATCGCCAAGAAGTGACAAACGCCAGAAGCCCCACCAATTAAATTTAAACTCATGAGAAGCTCAGTGGCTAGTAAATTATTATTTTTATTAGCTTGAACCAAGTTCCCGTAAGAGAGAAAGTCAACTTGCTCCCATGAATGGCTCTTGTATAATTTATTTAACACTGTGCTCTTTGCCAAAGCCTGGAATATTTTTAGCTCGTTCTGTTGTTGGATTTGGCTTTTTTATGTGTGTTTCTGAGGGGTATTTTTAGCCTCATCCATGTTATTCTAACAGCCTCCTATGCGTTTTGTCCTGTCTGTGCCGGCTCCTGAACCCAGTCTCACGGCAGAGGAGGGAGATTTCTAAGAATAACCGGGGAGCGTTCGGGGGTGCCCGTGTTTTCCAGGGGAGACGTGCAATCTGCACAGGCCACTCCCTGCCTCGCTCGCTAATTTGCCTTATTATTCATGTGACCTGGATATTCCTATAGGAATGTCCTTATAGGAATAATCAGACATGGGGGGCAGCACAAGCCCTACTGAGAAAAAACCCACATTCCAAAAATGGCTTCGGTGGGGCAGGAGAGGCGGCCGCAGCCTGGCGGGTCTACGCGGCAAAGCCGCCGGATTCCCGGGGCTCCTCGGCTCGGCGGCGGCTTTGATGTCTGGTTCTGTCACTTACAGAGCAGGACGGGTAGTCTTCAGAAAGTAACTCTTTTCACACCTACTTAATGTTGGTAACTGTTGCAGAAACACTCCATCGTGTCATTGAGTTAATGAGGTATTTACGAAAATGTATTTTTTTCTTTACAAAAAAATATCACATAACGAGGGAGGGGGAACCTTTGATGGGGTCTTTTCACACTAGGAAATTATTTTTCCCTCTACTGCATTTTTCTTTTTTTTCTTTTTGAGATTGTCGATCAGAAGCACTTTTAGCAGGAAAGAAGCCTGCAGTCCTCCCACCGGAAGGCACCTGCCGCCCTGTTTACTCCTAACACCCTCAGGCCCAGGGCACCTGGCCTCCAGACAGGGCCACGTGCACCCCAAAGAAGACCAGGGTTGGGTCAGGGGAGAAGGCACCCCACAGCAACCCACAAGCAGATCGCTGAGACCAAGACTTGAATGGGCACCTCCGCCTCCCCTGGGTGGACACCTGGATTCTCCAAGGCTCGGCCCTGCGGGGGGACACACACGGAAGGACAGAAGGACGGAGGACGGGGGCTGACCCGGCGGAAGAGGGGGCACGGCCAGGCTCCTCCCAGGCCCGGCTGCCTCCTCAGTCAACGCGCTCCCCAATCGCTCCAGGCAGCAGTGCTGATGAAAAATCTTGGGTTGGTGCGTTGTTGATTTTCCTTTTCTCCCCCCTAGATTTCACAGCTTTGCCTCCGGACCATCTGTATTAGAGACAAAATCTAACACTGCACTAAAAATAATGATTCCAAACATTTTAATTGCACCTTTTAGTGACAAGGTTACTGGAACAGCACTTTGCCATAAAACCCTACAGCCCGATTATAAAGCTGCCGGCACTTTCATTTTTAGAAAAACAATAGGAGCAACCCTGGAGCCCAGCGTCCCATCAGGGTCCCCCAAGCTGACACTTTGAAAGCACTGGATGGGGATGAGCAAGGACGGCCTGGGCAGTGGGCGGGGAGGGAGACCCTCAGCCTGGTGCGGGTGGCCGTGCCAGGGCTGAGCAGTCCTCAGAAGCCAGGGACTCCATCTCCAACGGTGGATCCTCCTCCGCTGTTGGAGCCAGACAAATAGCAAGGAGCTCGGAGCAATTTTCCCTTCAGTGGGGCAGTCAGTGCTGGGAGGGGTGGCTGGGATGCTGCAGTGTGGCCTGCGGACGCAAGGCCATCCGTGGAAAGGGGACGGAAGTTCGCCAAACTGGCCATTTGGAAATCCGCACGAGATGCGAAAAAATTTCTCACTTAATTATACTTTTTTCTTCCTAAACTAGATCGTATATAGAAACAAACCAAAGCAAAATGATCTGGTGTATAATTCCTTTAAAAAAATTGATGTAGCTAAATTTTTAAAACCAATGCAATATTCTGGCTTTCAGCAATTTCAAAAGGCTTTCGGCAGCAGATGTTTCTAGCTGGACGCCCGCTCAGCGGCCAGCCTTCCCGTCACAAATGGGCTGAACATCTCCGAGCACAATAGGTCTCCCCGGTTCCCCAGGGGGGTGGAAACGACCTCCAGGAGCAGGGGACACGTGGCCCTCCAGCCCCCATCTGAGGGCGCCCTGGGGGCCTCCAGCGCCCTCTAGAGCCCCCTTCGCTTGGGGGAGGCTGGGAGTGTCTGGTCAAGGACACAGACCCAGACAGGGCTCAGCCCAGTTTCTCCAAACCCCCCAGGGCCTACACTCTGAGAACCACGTGGTCAAACTTGGAATGAGCAAGACAATGGTTCGGGCCACCCGACCACGTTCCCACCTGACTTGGTGGTGCCTGCACCAGGAAACATGGCAGAAAGGGGAAATGGCGGCTGACCAGGACCTGGCCAGGCTGTGGGCTGCTGAAGGAGATGAAGAGGAGGCAGTGACCTGAACCGATGGGGCATGCGGCCTGGCCGAGCCTCGGGAGGGGTGACGGCCCCAGCTTGCCTGTGCACCACCAGGAAAGCCTCAGGGTCAGGGGTCCTCCCAGACCCTTGTTTCTATGGTTCTGTTCCCTGCCAGGCTGGAGGGCACGGCATTTGGGGGGGTATGCAGCCACTCCCTCCCCATCCCCCAACCTGCAAGCTCAGCCTCCCGCGCCTCAGGGGCCACCAGCCTGCAGCCAGGAGCAGGGGCTGGTAGGGAAGCTGTGGCAGTGTCCCTGTTGCCACCACGAGCCCCCACTCACAGCCCCCCAGTGTGGACTGGGCTGGGCGGGCAGCATCTCCAACGAGGGGCAGGAGAGACACAACCGCAGGGATAGCAGGATTGATATTTTTAAGTCAGCAATTGCCCAGGCAAGTACTTTTTCTCTCTGGAGTTATAAATCTAAAGGAGAAAAAAGAAAGAAAAGGAAAGAAGAGCAAGGAAGAGGCGAAGGGGCAGGCGTGCGGAAGGCTCGCACAGCAACAGGAAACACAGCGGGCCGGGGCTGATTCCCGGAGAGCCGGGAGCCCAGCCTCGCAGCTCCCACTCCCTCGAACTTTTTGAATCTCCTTGCGTTGTAAATGCTAAAAAGCCATTCGTAATTAAGCAATTTCTCATATTTTTTCTTTTTAGGAAATTTACATTTTTCTTTCTGACGGCCCTCCCTCCTGACATTCTCCCTTCTAGCCCGACTCTGCCATCCGTTTTAATCCACACACTAATTGTAATCCCATTAAAGCAGATATAATTTTATTAGTATTCACAGTTCATCAAGCTAGCAATAATAACTGTTACTGCCAAATTAACAACAACAACAAAAAAAGCGGCAAACAACATTTCTGATGTTTAGAACAAACTGTAAACAAAAGCAAGCCAGCCTTCCACGGTGGCCATCGGGTCCCCACGCGCAGCCGCTCCAGCTTCCTGCAACCTCGGTGGGTGCTGGCCAGTGACCTCCAGGATCTAGGGGAGGTGGAGGTAGCCGCCTCTTCGCCACCATCCGCCTGGCCCTACCTTCTCCTCTGACTTGGCTCAACAGTAATATAGAAGCCACCAGAGTGGGGGACTGCTCTGGAGGCCTGGGTCATCTCTGCCAAAAACTGACCCTCTCCTCTCCAGGAGGGGATCCGACAGGACGGGAGCGCCGGGCGGCCCTCGGGTCTCTCCTCCTGGAGCAAATTCGCGGCGCACTCGCCTGCACCGAAATCCCAAGACGGCCCCCGCGCCGCCCCCAGCCGAGCCGGCGCCGGGTGCTGCCCTCCCCCTGGGCTGCGGGCCGCGAGGCTGGGCCGCGCTCTGGCCACGCTTTGTCCGGCTTTAGCAGGATACCAGAGGCACTTGTTAAAGCAAATGCATCCCCTGCAAACCCATTCTCGCCCTGACACTTCAAGGCTTTATATAGAAACAGGATTTGCTCGTCTTACACCAGCAGTCCCTATTAACGCTTACCCCATCCACACACCGCCCTAATCCGCGAGGCCGCCGCGCGCCCCGCGCCCCCCACCCCCAGTCACAACAGCCGTTTTGTTCCCGCAGAAAGTGCCTCGTTGTCCCAGCCCCGGAATGTCTTAAGGATGTGAATGCAGAATGCAGAAATGAGGTTTCCGCGGAATTTAGTTCTTCTGCAGGAAGGGGTGGGGGAGGGTGGCAGGATCGGAAAGGCTTTATTTTTAGCCGGCTCTGGGGCTGCCCCTCTGAGACCCCGGGGGGACCCCGGGGAAGGCCGCTCTAAAGCGAGATGATCCTGCTCGGGGGCCTGCGGGGAGCCGCTCCACGCGCGGGCGGCCACCGATGCCAGAGCGGGGAAATGAAACCGAAGGCTTCTCCGCAAATGCTCCAAGGAGAGGAGGGCGGGCGCGCATTCGACCCTCGACTGTGCCCACCTCGCGGCTGGGCCTCCTCTCCCGCGCCCGCCCCGGGCGGCACTGACCTGTGTGCGAAGCCATGGGCAGCGGCGACGGGAAGTACTTTCCGGGCTGGAAGTGTGCCGGGGGCTGCGCGGCGGGCCCGGCCGGGGCGAGGCGCGCAGCGGCAGCGGCGCTGCGGTGGCCCAGGCTCCCGCGGTCCGACAGCAGATGCGGCGGCGGCGCGAAGTCGCGGCCATCCATGCCGGGCCCCGGCCCCGGCCCGCCACCGCCTCCCGGGAGCAGCGCGGCCGGGGCCCGGGGGCGGCTCCGCGCGCAGGCGGCGCGCGCGGGCGGCGCGGAGGAGGCGGCGTCCGGGGTCACCGGCGGTGTTGGCTGGGCCGGTCAACACGCCGGCAGGCTGGGTTCCTTGGCGGGCGGCCGCGCGCTCAGCCGGCGGCCGCCGTGCGGGTCCATAGTCTGAGAAGACAAGCAGAAGAAACTCGGTGACTCCGGGGCTCGGCTCGACCAGGGGTCCCCGCCCCGCCCGCCCCTACGCCCACCCCGGCTGGAGCCGCGGCGGGGCCTCAAACGCTCAGCGCGTCTCCCCGCTGCACGCGCGCGCGCCAGACTACTCGGGCCGCCCTGGTCCCCGAGCGCACACGCACCGTCCCGGCCACGCTCGGGCCGGAGGAGCCCCGGGGAACCCGGCCGCACCGCTCGCCGCTTCCCCTTCGCGCACCCGCGGGTCCCTGCGGCGAGGGCGCCGCGGCGGAAGGCTGCTGGCTCCGCTGGGTGATAAAAACCCAAATCTGCGAAGCCATCACGCACGCACACACACACACACTCACGCGCACAATCTCTCCCCTCCCCCGCTGCCCAAAGGTGTCTCAGAGGAAAAGGCCTGGGGTCCACGCTTCGCTTTTTTTCCTCTCCCCCCCTCATTCCGAGGTCCAGCTTTTACTGCATTCCGCTTAACCGAATAACCATGCTAATTAAGCGAGTAATTTTATTGATTGTAACTCAAGAGGTTTTTTTTTTATAACCTTCCTTTTCTCTCCTCTCCCATCCCCCCATGCGTCTTTCGGTCCATTCTTTTGAACCCGCCCCCCCACTCCCCGCCCCAACAAGACGAGACCCCCACCCCACAGCACCGAGCCAGGACCCTTGGGCCAACTCCCCGGAGCCCCGGCGTCTGCGTCTGCCGCCGGCGTCACCTGGGCCGCCACGCCGCAGTGCCCAGCCTGCCGTCCCCGAATCGGGAGCTTCCTGGCGAGGCTGGAACAATCACCCTACTCCCCAATCAAATTCGCCCAGGATCTTCCTCTGCCGATTGGGGGCTTTGGCGCGGGGCGGGGTGGGGGGTGGGGGTGAGGGGGGCGCCTTGAGAGTCAGAAACTGTTCTCTCTCAACGCCCCAAATCGGTCACGGGATTTCTCCCTTCAGCGCCTGCCTCAGGTCACCCAGCCGAGGCTGGTCTCTGCCCGACCAGGCAGCCCGGGGACCCGGGGTCTGCGGCGCCTGGCTCTGCCCTCCGGGCCCAGCGCAACCTTCGCCTCCCCCCTCCCAGCTCCCAGCAGACCCCGGGCCTCCGTTGTCCACCTCCACCTCCCAGCAAGGCCACATAAAAATACCCCCACCTCCCTTCTCTTCAACCCCCACCCAACGCAGAGAGTCAACTCCGAGGCGAAATTGGGGACAATTTCAGACGCTGACTGCGGACGAAGGGACAGGAACTGCATGGCTGTGCGCCCGCGAGGACCTCTTTCGTTTTGCATATTTCTCATTTCCGACATCTGCATTGTTTTAATGTTTGATATCACCTCCAACAAAAGGGAGATGAATAGGCTGATATTCTTAATTGTGAACTTTGCAGAAAACCTGATTTTTTTAAAGCCGTCCCACTGTGACAACAAAGAGATTAAGATGTTTTCCATTTCGTGAACACCATTTTAAACTGCTATATTTAATGCTACAGGTTCTACAACGTCTTATTTGCAGACTATTTTGTGTTAGATTTAATCTATAACCGAAAACATAATGTATTAAGTGAATACATATTTGCTCAGTTGATAAGCTTTTTTAATATTTATTCGGGGAGCTTTTGCATTGTAAATAAACGAGACCTACACAAAGAGTTCCCTTTGTCTCAACTTCATACAAAGAGGTTCGGGGCTCCCTCCCCTCTGGGGATCGCCAGCGCTCTCCCCGGGTCTAACAAATAACTCAGTTCGCCGCCGCTCGGGCCTGCAAAGCGAGCGCCAGGCCGCCAAGGCCGAGGGCGCGCCGGTGGACGGGGATGCCTGCGCTGGGGTCAGAGGAGGAGCTGCCCGCGCCGGAATAGGGGCCTGGGGGCAGCAGCGAGGCGGGAGCTGGGGGGCGCGGGGCGGGACAAAGGGAAAGAAGGAGGGGAGGGAGGTCGAGAACCTGCGGCTTCAAAGGCGCCGAGAGCCGGAGGCTGCGTGCGCGGGGGTGCGGGGCTTCCCGGCGGCCTCCGGGGAGTCGTGTGTGCTAAGCTTTTGTTTTGTGGGGTTTCTTTTTTCCAGTAAGAAATTTCAAAATTGCCGAGAAAGCGCGAGCTGCTCGAGATTCTCGGGACGCGGGCTCGGCTACCAGCAGGAATTTTAATTTTCCACCTTCTGCGGGCGGATCGCTGGCTCGACTGAGCCTTCTTCACCAGCCCGCCAGACTTTTTACGGAAACAGGGGATTGATTATTGTCGCTCGTCTGTGCCGCTGCGATTCTTACGGGATTGGGGGAGGCTTTTCTTTGTGTTCTTTGCTCCGGGGGAGAGGCCGCGCCGCGCCTCTTCGGCCGCCAGCGCGCGGCTCCCGGGGCCTGCGGAACCCGAGCTGGGCAGGGAGCGGGCCGGGGAGGCGCGGCCGCCGCAGAGGCCTGGGCCCGGAGCCTGGGAGCTGCCAGCCGCGAGTTCCAGGGCTCCGAGCCCCCTCCCGCCAGCTCCTGGAGAGGCCGCCGCACAGGACAGCGCCCCAGCCCGGGTCCAGCTGGTCAAAGGGAGGAAGCGGAGCGCAAGAGAAGGTGGGCAGGGACCCTGCGCCGCCCGAGAATCGCTGACAAGGGCATTTTGGAAAGAACCGAACCTCGGAACGCCGGGATCCTCCCCGGGGTTGCGGGGCGCGGTCCTCAGAGCAGGCGGTCCCCTCCTCGCGTGGCTCGCGCGCTCATGGATGTGGGGTCCTTCACATTTGCTTTGGTTTTAACTCATGCACCTAAAAACCTGCTCTCCCTTCGGCTGCACGCCCAGGACGAGGACCCCATCCTGTCTGCCTCCCCCGGCGCCGTCTCAGAGCCCGCGGGCGCCGGGTGCGGGGGAGGAGGCTGCAGGCTAGGCTGGGACCAGGCGCACACCGGCGCGCGGGCTGCTCAAGCGCCGCCGCAGAACCCGCTCCCTGCGAAACGGCCGCGCCCGCCCCCCCCCACCCCGCCTCGGAGAGGACTGAGGGCCGGGGCCGCGCCGGACCCCTGCGTCCCAGGGCGCACCGGCCCGCAGACCCCACCCCGCGGGCCGGGGCCCGAGCCCCGTGCGCTGCCCGGAACGCGCGCGGTGAGAACGCCCCGCTGCGCCGGCCTCGCTCGGCCCCCTCCTCCACCCTCACCCCAGGCAAAAAAAAATCTCAAATGTTCTGAAATGAATTAGGCTCTGGAAAGCGAAACCCAAAAAAACTCGCCATTACCCCTCCCGGTCCGGGCCCCTCGCCCGCACCCAGCCGGCGGCCAGAAAGCCCCTCTGTCAGCGGCCCGGGCCGCCTCGGCCACCACAAGCCGGCCGGTTCTCCGCCGCGGAGCGACCGGGCGGGGTCGACCCGGGACTGCTCGGGGGAGGGAAGCAGGGTGGGGGGGCAAACAATTGGGGTTCGTTGGTGCTGCCGCCAGAGCCGAGCGCGCGTTGGCGGCGTCCGGGACCTCGCCGACTGTCCGCCCAGCCGTCCGCGCCGCACGCAGCCTGGCTGTCCCTGTCCTGTTGCGATTATTTATTTTTAATGCTGGGTGTCGATCGAGACAACAAGAGCTCAGAGCAAAGCAAGGACGCATTACGGGGGGCATTTTAAACCGATCGATAAGATTTTTCAGAGGAAAAAAAAAATCGCCCTTACATATAGTCCATCTTAAAAAAAAAAGCCTGCTCCACATTATAACGGATTTTTAAAAAGGGAATATATATATTTCTTAACATCGCAACCCTGAATTTCTCTTGCTAAAAAAAAAAATGTAAATCCCCAAAGCCAAAATAAAAAATAAAATAATAAAAATACAAAAACAAAAAAATGAAAGCAATTTCAGTTACTTACTGGAGGCTGTTTCCTGGATACAACTGAATGCAATACAATTAAACCAGTAAATGTGACTTTGTTTTGTATTCCTATTGGTATTTTCAATGTGCTGACTGTTGCACTGTAAATGCACCGCTTCCACAACAACGACTCTAGCGAGCCCATCCAGAGCGGCTCTCAAACCTGCAGCCGGCGCGGCGAGCCACGGGCCCTGCATACTAATAAGCTCGTGCCACTCAGTCCCGAGCAGCCCGCGCGCTGATTGGTCGCGCGGCCCTCCGCGGCCGGGAGCTCGTGCCACTCATTCGGCGTAAACAGGCCTCCCAATAGGCTGGCGCCGGGCCAGGGAGCTGCCAATCAGGGAGCAGCAGGGCTACTACCGAGCCCGATGGCGCCTAATTCAAGCCCCGCGACTGCGCAGCTCCTCTGCGCAGATCGTTGCTGCTGAATGGGAATGTGGTGGCGCAGGGCGGGAGAGGGAGTAGGGGCGAGTGGGAGCGCGTGTCCACGCGGAGGGGGAGGCTTTTTTTTTTTAATTTAATCCACCAGGTCTAACGTTTGGTTTCTGGTGCACGGAGGCCAGGAGAAGAAACAGCAACACCCGTTAAAACAGATGCCTTTTTTTTTTTTTTTTTTTAATACCTGGGATCTGTCTGGCAGGTGGCTGAACCAGGCGCAGGTAGGCCCGAGCTCTAAGAGTGGAGGCCTCCTCGTGTTGTCCGGCCCTTCCACCACTCCGAGGCCTCCGCCTGCTCCGACTGACGTTGGGAACGCCTGCGTCCTGGGCAACAAGAGCTCCAGAGTCGTCTCCTCCCCCTGGCCCCGGGGATCAGACCCTGGGGAGAGGGTCCTGCGTCTCTGGCCATCTATCTGCGGACCCTCAGTTTTTTATCTCTCTCGGCTCTACTTTGCAACAGAGCACCGATCAACATGAAAATCAGAGACGTACGGTCAACACAGAGATTGCCCTTTCTTCATCTGCAACTAGATTTTTAAAATATGATTTCCTTGATATGCATGGTGCGAAACCATGCGTAATAATATTTCTCAATGCCGCTCTCCTGCATATCCGCTAAATCCTCGCCCCAATTAAAAAGAGCCACTGAACAATTATCATAATCGTAATCAGATGCAAATCACTTTTTAAAATATTCTCCAAATAAATATTTCTGTTAGAATTTGGTTTTCCAACAAAATGCTATTTATTCTTGGCGAGTTAAAGTGATGTCTTCGTAGTGATGGATACATCATATTTATTCCTTTCTCCCTGTGAATCTCTGCCTCCCCCTCTGAAGGACAAAAAAAGGATATTTAAACTATATGCCAACCAACGCACTCACACGCGTTAAAAACTCTCCACCGGCTCCTTCCGGGGGGACACGAAGGAGTTAAACCCGAGGCTGTCTGTTGTCTCTTTCCTTTCCCCGCCCCCCCGCCCGCTCCCACGGGACCCCCGGGATTGGCTGGCACTCCGCCAGCAGGCTGTCAATCACAGAGTGTAAACAAGGCGCTGATTGGCTGTTGTCCAGTCCGCACAGGGCCTCCTGAAAAAAGCAATTACTGGCTCCGCGGTTTCAAGGCGGCCCAAGGCCGCTTGATGAAAGGAGATAAGCTGGGGACCGTTTCCAGGATCCCCGCGGGCCGACCCGGGCAGCCCGGGAGCCGAGGTGCGGCGGAGAGCCCGCGGATCAAAGGAATGCGGAGAGAAAGGGGAAGCAGGCGCACGGCCCCGGCTGGCCTTCCCCCGCGGGCGTCTCTGACCAGGGGTGGGGGCTCGGGCCGCGGGTGGGTCTCCGGGATTGGGCTCCCGCTTCGGCCGGCGCGGCCGGTGGGGCAGCTCCGGAGAGCCCGGGGCTGGCAGGTAAGCGCCGGGGCTCCGTGGGCCCGGGCCGGGGATGCAGTCCACGGCGCGTAAACCCGAGTCCCGATTCTGGCGACGCCCCGCCCCGGCGGCGGGGACCCCTCCGGCGGCCCGAGCCCCCGGCCAGTCTCGAGGCCGGCGCCATCGGAAGCGACCCCGGGCCGCGCGCGGCGGCCACGGGAAGAGAGGCGGCATGCATAAATCCATAAAGCGCCCGGAGATCCGATTAGCGCGCGGCTATTCATTAAGCCGGGGGCGATTGAATTAGGTCCCCTGGTGCGGACCGGGGGGAGCGGGCGGCGCGGCCTCCGAGGCGGGGGTGTCTGACGCGAACCTGCGGTCTCCGGCCGTGGCTTCCGGAGGATGAAGTCGCAGTGGCGGCCCCCGCGTGTGAGTGTTGGGGGAAAGGAGTTCCTCCGGGTCCCGACCCCGCAGACGCATGCGGAGGCCGCCCGCTTCCCACGCACACCGAGGGAAGCCAGCCCCGGCCCCGCCCGGCTCCGGAGAAATCGCGCCCGCGGCGGCGGGGGTGGGGGGGCGGCCGCCGGACTCGGCTCCCGGGTCCCGCGCAAGGGCCAGGCGGGGCCGAGGCACGAGCTGGGAGCGGCTCGCTTTCCCGTCCCCGAGCGCACGGGCTCACACTGCCTCCCGGCTCCAGTGTCCTGGCGCGCCGAGGCTGCCTGGTCCGCGCTCCGCGGGGTCCCGCCAGCTTCCCGCCGCCCTCCGAGTCCCGGCCCCGGCAGGGCGCCCTGGCTGACGCCAGGTTTCCTACTCTCTTTTGGAAGCGGAGTTCCCCATTACTGACTTTCTCCGATGAGCTTGTTTTCCATCCCAAGAGTTTTTTTTTTTTAACTTAAGACTCAGTTTTAAACCTCCATTTGAAATAAAAAAGAGAAAAATATATGAGAAAAGCCCTCCATCCAACAGGCAGAGAACACTTTGGCAACGGGCGGTGTCCCTGGAGTTGCTCCGAGCTCCTGGAGCGCACGCCGCGGCGGCCCCGCTGACCCTTGGTCTGGGAAAGGGCTCCCGCCTTGCACTGCCGGGTGGGGAAGGGGTGGGGGGGCTCCAGTCTCTCCGAGCCCCCAGTCTCCTCCAGGGTGTCCGCAGGCTGGGAAGCCCCCAGGGCCCCCAAACTCTGTCCCCAGCTCCCTCAGGCAGAGGATTGTCTGAGGGTCCCGGAACCTGGCTGATGGGCCCCACCCCAGCCATAGACATGCAGGCTGTGGGGCAGATGGGATGGCACAGGACAGGATGCGTCAGGCCTCCGTCCCCTCTGCAGACTTGCTCTGGTCCTTGCAGCTTGCCAGGGCCAGATTCCTAATTCAGGGAGCGAGAACTGGCTTTCAGAACCCTGCCCCTCCTGTCTGGCAGAGAGCGGCTGCCCTCTTGGGAGGGCCTGGTGTACTTGGGTGCATCTAGGCCACCAGCAGCTCCCTGCTGGCCTGGCTTCCTCCACCTTCTTGTTCTGCCCCCAGCATCACTTACAACAAATCTAGTGGGCTTTTTTTAAGAAAAAAAAAATACTGTTTCAAGACAGTTGTTACAGCAAATAGCTGCAGACGGGCCTGCTGCATGCGGCAGGGGCTGGCAGCTGCCCAGCGCTCACAGCTCCCGCAGTACCAAAATAAGCTCCCTGTGTCGCGCCCGCTGTGAGGCTCCCGGCGGCCAGGGCGTGTTTGGCTGGGCGCTATCAGCTCTGAGGAAACCTCCCCATTTCCTTTTTTACTCTCCTTGCTGTCCAGAGTTAACAAATGTTTTTAATTTTAGAGGAACACCGTGTAGCGATCTGCAGACTGGCCTTCCACTGGGGAGGGAGACAGCAGAGGGAGAAGAGAGGGGGCCGGGTAATAAGGTGAGGTCAGGGCTGAGCTGGGATGTCCAGGTCTCTGCAGTCGCCTGCAGTTTCACAAATGAATGGGCTCCCAGTCAGGCGAGGCCAGAGGCCCACACACCCCCCGCCAGATCACATGCCCTGCCCCAGCCTGGAACACTGCCAGGGGTGTCCTTGAACCCCCAGCGGGCTTCCTCCCTAGCAGGAGCACAGGGCTTCCACACTCCTGGTAGACACCACTCCCAGCTTGCCCTCTCCTGGCAGACACCACTCCCAGCTTGCCCTCTGGCCTTCGGAGAGGATAAAGAGATGCCCGGGGCAGCCTTGACACCTGGGCATGCACACTACAGTCATGCATACATACGACACTCATGTGTAGTCTCACATGTGCGCACACACATTCATGTGGGCTCACACATCACACTTGCGTACACGTACACAAACACATCACACAGGCACACACTTGAGCACGAAGCACACCACACTCCCCCGTGCACACGTGCACAAAACATGCATGCACGCACGCACTTCCACAGCACACACCACACCAGCCCTCTGGAGAACCTGCCTTCCCACCCACAGCTTCGGGGCCCCTGGCGCCCCAGAACCTCTCCCCGCCCCGGAGCCGCCCAGCACTCACCCACACACTGCTACCCGAGAGTGGCGACAGATCTAGGTCTTCCAGCTCCCAAAAGACCATGATCCCTGCTCTGTCTGAAATCATGAAATAAATAATTTTTTAACACAAGAGGGTGGAGGTGTTGGGTGAGTTACATAAAATTATGAATTAGTCGCTGCTCCAAATAAATGCCTGTTGGGCCAGAGAGCAGCAGAGCTGTGCGCCTGGGTAATTGTGTGTCGGGTGTCTCTCCATTGTTCCCTGGGCCATTAGTCAAAGGGCAAATTAGAAACAATTTCTTGACAAAAATTGACTCTTAATTCTTCCCACCAGAGGCGCAGAGGGCCAGTTTCAGAGGCCGGGGCCGGGCACAGGCAGGCATATCTGGAGGGGGCCTGTGCCACGGGTTTGCCCTTGCCCAGCATCCAGGGCATGTGGGGAGGGGGAGGAGGGGTGGGCTGGGGCCCCAGGCCGGGGCTGAAGTGGTTCACAGCACCCCAACCCTCCCTCAATTGGAGGGCAGCGTTCCCCACCCCCACCCCCACTCAGAATCCCACCTGCTACAGCCCACTGGGCTTCCAAGGACAGTGCGAGAGTCAGGAGTCTGCATCCTTCCTCTCAAGGAAGAGGGGTAAAAAGAAAAATCACACACATTCCCACAAGCGCCTGAGCTGGAGGAGCTCCGCCCCCAGCACCACTCCAGCCTCCAGGAAGCAGGGCTCGGCTCCCACCCCAACCCCCTGAAGGAAGTCTACTGCCACCAGCCAGACAAGGGATGCTTCTTTTCATCAGAGCCTTTGGCTGGTGCACTGGAGGGGGCAGGGGCGTGAGGGGAGGTCAGAGGCGCCAGCCCCAGCCCAGGTCTGAGAAGCCCCTGCCCCTCCCTAGGCACTCCCCAGAGCAGCCTGGACCCCTACCTTCCCAGGAGCCTTGTGCCCTGGCTGTGGACAGGGTTAGGACGCCCCCTGGGGCCCCCAGAGGTCCTCCCCCAGGTGCTGCACCAGGAATTCATGCCTACACTTGGGGCGGCCTTCTCTCTGCCACGTCCTCTGTCTTTGGGGGCTTAAGCTTTGTTAGGGCAGGCCTGTTTTGGAGGGGAGAGGAAGGCGATAGATCTCCTGCACCCCCCAGGGGCAGGGGTCTGCCCCTACTGAAAACAAAACTTCCAGTCACAGCCTGTTCATTATCTGCTGGGGCCAGAGGACCAGGCAGCAGGGGAGGGGGCCGCTCAGAGGCCCAGGGTTGGGGGGAAGCAGCCATCAGAGGAAGAGTTGTCAGGAGCCAGGCCAGGCCCTGAGGGTCCTCTAGTCCCGTCTCCCCCCGGGAGGCCTCGCTGGGACCTGAGCAAGGGGCCCGCACACCGAGGCCCAAGCCCTGATCACTTGGAGCCCCTGGGCCCCTCGCAGAGGCACAGGCCACAGACAGGCTGCAAGACAGACTTGGGGACGTGGCTCTAAGTTTTAAAAGGCAACCAGAGCAGCCAGCGAGAAAGACTTTGAAGTCAGATGAGCAGTTCCCAGCCCCTCCCTCTTGGGGGGCTTTAATTCTGTTGTTGTTTCTTCCAACCAGGTCAGGAGGCTGCCCAGCCCCCTCTGCTCAGGGAAGGTGCTTGTTAAACACAGGGTTGCAATTTGTGGCTAAATATAACCCAGTGTGTTCACACAGAAAGTATAATTCAGGGTGCTGGTTGTGTGAGGTTATCAACCAGGAGACCCATCTGGGTTAAATTGAAGTGGTTTTCATAAACGGGCAGGAGTGTCCCATTGCTAGGCTTCTCCTCCCTGACTTTATTAGTGACAGTGATTGCTGTTACTGTTAAAGGGGATAATGGGAGTGGGGAGCCGTCTGGGACGCCCAGGGGGAAGGAGGGCCCAGGAGAGGGGGCCTCCCATCCCCTCCCCACTCCCTGCGTCCTGCCCCTTCCAGCCTCCTGGTCACTTTCTCATGGAGGCTGGAGGAAGGCAGTGGCCCCCCAGGGAAGCCCGGAAAGGAATCAATAGTGCGGTGCAAGGCCGCCCTCCCCAAAGGCAGCCCTGCTCCTTCCATGTAGGAAGTGGGCCCTGCCAAGTGGGCCGGAGGGGGGAGGCGGAGGGAGGGAGGCAGGGGGAAGCAGGTTCTCTGGGGATCTGTACTCACCTTCTAAAGCTGAAAGGGGGGGGATGTGTTTTGGGGATCTCCTTGCAGGAGGCTGACCCAAACCGGGCCCTCTGCCTTCCTGCTCCTGAGGAAGAACCCTACTGATGACCAAGGCCCAGACCCGGCTCAGTGGCTGGAACTGTCCTGCTCGGGGACAAAAGCTCTGGTAGAGCCTGATGAGGGGACAGTCAAGTGGTCCTTCCAGACCGCCCCCCAACCAGGCCCTGGCTGCACGCCCTCCCCAGGTGGCTACCTGCCTCCCTGCAGACAGGCCTGTGTGCATGACCCAGCTAGAGGGAGCCCTGCGCCGCTGGCCCAGGGCCGTACTTGGGTGTGTTTACACGTGTCGCTGTCAGGGTATGTCTAGATGGGCCGGAGTGGACTTCAGGGCCTGGTCTCACCCTGGCGGGAGGACCCTGGGAGAGGGATGCAGGCTGGGTGTCAGTCTCCTCTGATAAAACCCAGCCGGCCCAGGCAGAGCCGCAGTGGGCAAGCAAGGCCAGGAACAGAACCCAAAGTATGGGGACTGGAACTGACCCACCCCGTTTGCTCTGCAGGGCCCCAGCTTATCAGCCCCTACCTCCACCACTGGGGTCCCGGGTCCAACCAAGTTCTCAGAGCACCGGAGCTCAGGCAGCCAGCGGGAGGGCAGGGCCCTGAGACGCAGGCGAGCACAACAGGCACCGGCCCCTGCACACCCGGGGCTCCCAGGGTGGCCAGGAGCCTGGAAGCCCACTTCCCCATTGGATTTCTTCACATTCCCAGATTTGGAAAGGCCCCAGCCCGGCCAGACTCCCCCTCCCACTTTTGCCCCAGCAGAGGGCTCCAGAGGGTAAGGCGCTGCCCGTTTGGACTTGCTTCCGACACAAAACGGGAGACCTGGGCCGTTCATCACCCAGGGTCACACAGCGACCCTCCTGTGCTCTTCCTGTTGTAAAGCTGTTGCTGGCAGAGCTCCCCACTCACACCCTGGCCCCAGCTCTATAGGGTGGGCCTACCCCACAAACCCCACAAACCTCCTCCTGCCCCTGGGCTGAGCTACACTCCCCCTGCTTCCTGCAGCCCCTAGGACTTTTTTCCGGTGTCCGATGACCAAGGCTTGAGGCTCCCTTCTGGGGCTGCCTTTGGGACGACACCAGGGCTGGGCATCAGGGCTGGGCAGGCGCCAGACCCGCCTCCTTCTCCTCCCTCTTGTTTCTGGGGGGACTGAGTCCTTGGCCTGGTTACTTGCGGCATATATAGACCAAAAATAAATTATTCCCATCAAAATTCCCACAGAGCAGCCTGAGCCTGCGGCAAAGCCTTTCCTCCCAGTCCCCAGAGGCAGGCATTGGGGCTGGCCAGACACGGCCACACGACCACCCCTCCGGCCTGACCTGAGCATGGCCACCGCCTCTTTTGTTAACAGGACAGTCGATCCATTTAATTAAAAATCATTCAATAGATCCGTTTTTTCCCCTCAATCTGCACGAACACATATTGCACCCAATTCATGACACATCAGACCTGCTGCAGTCTGTAAGTCCCCAGCGGAGGTGGGAATGAGGGGTGCCCAGGAAAGTGTCCCAAAGGGACACTCCCCGGAAGACTCCCTCTTCCAACAGCCCAAGCAAGGGTAGCCAGAGCAGCCTGCCCGGGGCCAGCGCCGAGGCCAGGGGGCCAGGCGGTGCCACCAACTCTGGCTCATGACTTGCATGAACCTCTTCCAGCACATTCCAAGGGCCCAAGGGCCGGGTCTCTGGCCCACGCTGGGCCCAGGTCCCTTTCAATATGCAAACCCCAAGCCCAGCTAGCAGCTGTCTGCTCTGCGTGATGGAAGCGCAGACGCAGATGGAGGGATTTTCTTTCCACCAGAACTGATTTTGTTTGGTTTGCATTTGTATTTTTTAATAGCAGGCATTTTGGATGCAAAAAGCCTCCCCAGGCGGATGGAGTAAAGTTAAAGCCGCCGCTTCCCAGCCAGAAACAAAAGCCCTTTGGAAACTGAGCCGCGGGGCTGGCGGGCGGCGGGGATGGAGCCGGCCGAGCGCCCCCGGACCCGCGTCGGGAGAAGCGGCGCAGCACCTACCGCGCGGCGGCTGCTCCGGCTGCGCTCCGGCTCCGGCTCCGGCTCCGGGCGGCCGGGTGTCCGGCAGAGGCCGTCCCGGCCTGCTCGCCGGAGTCCGCCCGGTCTCCTAGAACGGGGAGGCGGCCGGAGGCGCCATAATCGCAAATTTATGGCCTGGGTGACGTGCTTCCCTCTCCCACAATGGGGCCTGGTGACATTAAACAGAAAATTGATGAGAGAGGAGCGAAATCTAATCTCTCTTCCCTCCACGCCAGCTCTTCTCGCTTTTCGGGGAGGGGGGTGGGGGACGGGAGGCAGAAAGTGGTCGCCTCGAGTTGGTGCGCTCCTGAGCCCCACGCCGGATGCTTCCTCCCTAATTCGGGCTCCTGGCCGGCGGGCTGCGGGAGGGACCGCGACCCTGGCCCTGGGCCCCGACCCTCCGCGGCTCGCCGACTCTCCGCCGCATTTCGGGCAGAATCTCTTTCCACGCGCCTCGGACGGAGAAGAGAGCCAAGTACCCCAGTCCCACCCGCACGGAGGGCCCCGGGCCCGGATGGGGCTGCGATGCGCCCCCGGCCTTCGCTCCGCTCCCCAACTCCGGGGGCCCCCCAGTCCCGCGTTGGAGCTCCCTGCCCCCACCGCGCGGAGCCTGCGCCAGCAGCCGATGGGAAGACCCCAGCTGCCCAGCCCCCACCCGGAGCAAGTGGGAAAAGAAAGCAAGTGACCACGCGGGTCGCGCCCGGGGTGGCTGGCTGCGAGCGCCCGCGCTCCTCTGCCTGCGGCGCGGCTCCCCCGGGGCGCGCCCGGCGCCTCCTGGCACCGACCCCGCCGTGCCTCGTCCTTAAAGGCGCCGCCCGCCCAGCCGGCCTTTGTCCGCGCCTCAGGGAAGGGTCACACCAAGGGAGGTGGGGTGGGTGGGGGTGGGGGGGGGGGGGGGGGGGGGGGGGGGGGGGGGGGGGGGGGGGGGGGCAGCGGCAGGGCTCTTTTTCCCCCTACCCCCTCCTCCATCCTATCTCCACGGGGCAAAATTCTGCGGTGGCCTCCCCCTGCTTGGAGGAGGCCAGGGCCCAGCAGCCACCCCGCCATGTGCTGCCTGAAACCTCCAGGCTTGGACAAGGTGCTTGGTCGTGAGGACCCAGCCTCAACAAGTGGGGGTGAGGAGGGTGCTTCTCAGAGAGAGAATGAATGAGGGAGCTCCAGTGGAGCAGCTTGAAGAATGGAAGGGCCACCTGCTCACAAGAGAGAACACATCCCTGCCAACCAACCTGGCAACCTGGCTGTGCTGGGCCCCGACCCACAGGTGAGGGGCAGCTGCAAGGAATGGACAGAGCCCTGGTTTGGGGCCCAGACCCGGATCCAGTGGGCAAAGTTATGAGCAACTCCACTGGTCCCCCTCTCTGGCCTAGATGACATGGGCATCTGGGTGCCAGATGCTGTCCTAGGTACACGTTTAATCCTCTGGACAGCCTGGGACACAGATGATAGTGATGATCATGCCCATTTTAGAGATGAGCAAACTGAGACTGAGACGGTGTAACTTACCCGTGTTCTCACCCAGGGGCTAGGTACCTGGGCCCCGGATTCTTCCGCAAAACCAAGACATGGATTGGCTGGACTTTGGGTCCCAGAGAGCCCCAAGACTCATGGATGGGGCAGACTTGATAGGTCCCGACTTTCACAAGCCCATTATCCTTGTAGACAGAGAGCAGAAAAACATGGGCCTCATGACCGCAGTTGGGTGCTTTGGGCCACAGGACCCACAGAAGGATGCCACCAGGGCCCCATTCTTCCTGGGAAGCCCCCTCCACAGGCTCCAGTGGCCCAGCGTGTTTCTGAGTCACCGGGATGAAGACACCGCCGGGCAGGTCACCATCTCTGCGGCTGGGAAGAACTGCTTATATATGGCAAGAATCTGGAAGCCAGAGTCCAAAAGGTCACATTGGACTGAAACCAACGAGATTACATTTAACGGGCTGGACGTGAACCTCCACTTTTAGGTTCAAGATTCAGTTGTAAAAATGCAGGCAGCTTCCCACGGAAGACATGATGAGCCGACTTGCAGCTGTCTGTACCGTTCAGGCAGAACCGCTCCCCAGCGCAGGCCCCTTGTGAATTTCCCTGAGCCCCAGCAGCTGCGCCTGCGCCCTCCGGGGCCCTCCTGGGATGTCATGCTTGCTGGGGGAGGGGACGCAGCTGGGGACGGCCGAGAATGGGGTCCTTGTGCTGCTCTCATCAAACCCAGCCTGGATGAACACAGCTTTGTCTGCACCCACACGCCCGTGGTGGCCACGGGACCAGGGATCAATGCCTGGGGCTGGGGGCGCTTCAGAACAAGAGTGGCTGCTTTTGGCCTCAGTTAACCCTTGAGTGGATGTTGGATGTACAGTCTTCTCCAGCTCTGCGCCTGGGGGTGGGGGTGGGCAGGAGAAGGGTGAAAATCAGTGTCAAGTCCCAAGTTTCAAAAAAATGTTAAACCAATTTTTTTTTTTTTTTAATTCAAATGGCTGCAGCCATTGGGGGAGATGAGAGGGTGGCCTTGGGTGAAGGGGGTAACTCTGAGAATTACTTGGCCTTCTTCACAGAATCCCCCTCCCACACCAGGCCCAGCTGGGAACAGAAGCCTAACTTGACAGCGCCCCAGTCCTGGTCTAGCTGTGGCATGCACCTCACTTCCGGGGAATTCTTGGTCATCCAGAGAAGCAGGCCCCCACTGGGCATCCATCAGCCTGACAGGATCTCAGCTCCAGTGGGGAGACCAAGGAGACCAACGACAGAGGGGAGAAGAGCCTGGAGACCCTCTGCTGGAACCTGGAGGGCCTTGCAATGACTTCAGAGCAAGTTGGGGTGGAGGTCAGTCGGGGAGGCCTTCCTGGAGGCGGGAAGGGCGGATGGAAGTGGGGAGGGGCGCATGAGGGTTACTTACAGGTCTAATGGCTTGAATTGCTGCAGTGGGTCTGGGCCAGGAAGTGGGGTTCCTTGTGAGTCAGCATTGTTCCCTCTTAGTGAACAGAGCCGGTGGCAAAGGGGCAGCAAGAGGACGACGAGAGGTCCCCAGAGGACCCGGGGGCTATAGCACCTCTGGTCCAGCTGGGACCTGTCCAGCCCGCTCCTCCTCCTGGGCAGGCAGCCTTGGGGCCGAAGGAAGTATACCTGGTAACAGCATGAGTCGGTTTTATTCTCTTCTTTACAATTTTCTGTATTTCTCAAATTTCCCTTTTGAAATGCATTCATTTTGTAATCAGAGAAAACAGAAACAATAAACATTACCCCTAAACAAATCTCCAGGCCCAGAGATACTGTCTCAGGCTGTTGGGGAGCCCTGAGGCATGCTGGCCCCTCTCCAGCGGGCTTGTGAATTCACTGCCCTGGCTCAGTGCTCATGGTTCACCCCAGGACCCGGAGGCCCCATCCCCGCCCCACAGACCCTTTGAGGAGTGGTAGGCCCTGGGGGGTCTCAGATTGCCCCACACCCTCTCCCAGGCCTTATAGAGGCCACCAGGACAGGTGCCATCGGCTCTGGCTCTAGTCCCTCAGTCCACTGCATCCAGGGCAAACACAGACCAGCCCCCAGAAGTCCTTCCCACTCCCCCGAAAGCACTTGTTTCCTGAACATCCCTAGTAAGGTGAGCCCCAGGCAGTCAGACCCCTGCCCACGAGAGGTCCACGGCCCTGAATGTGCCATGCCAAGGTAGAGGGGCCAGGTACCTAGCAATGGCAGGGTATAGGGGGCCCAGTCCTCAGGGTCAGGGGCCTCGGGAAAGGCTCACCCGGGGGGTCAGAGGCCACTGCTGACAGGCATACCAGCGAGTCAGAGCCCTGTCCAGGGTGAAACCGGTTAGCCAGTGTGTAGGGCCTGATGTAAGTGAGGGGCTGCCTGATGTGGCAGGGGCCAGACAAGGCCGAGCCAACTTCCTTTCGGATCCCTATGTGGATCCCTGCACCCCCTGCAGTGGCGCCGTGCTGCGGCCCCACCTCTGCCCAGGGCTCCTGGCCCAGATGGCAGTGGGGCCAAAATCCCCTCACCAATCCTGCCTTGGTTGGGCTGCCCAATTTTCACCATAGCATAGCTCTCACCCTGGGCTGGGGTTTGTCTCTGCTCCACCTGCACCCCAGGATCCAGGGCCATGAGCAGGAAACCCCTGGGAGTGTTGGCTGTGGGGGTACTGGAGGTTTCCAGGAGAGGGTGCTGGCTGAGAGGCTGGCTCTGGGTACTCGGGGATGAGGGGGTGCCTGGAGTCCTGCGTGGACCCTCAGACCCCTGGGGAGGGGGCAGGAGAGATTCCCCAACACAGGGTCAAAGAAGGAATCTGTAGGGGTAGGGGGACAGGAAGAAACATGGCCATGGCCACAGGCTGGGTCTTGGGGCACAGCAGCCACCAGCATCCTGCTTGGGTTGGCTGCTTCCCCTCGCTGACAAGAGGAAGAATTGAGGTTTCCTGAGCACTGAGCCTCAGACAGCAGGTGACTCCCCCTCCAGGTCAAGGTCATGCAGCAGGAAGGAGGAGAGCTAGGATTTGGCCGTCCACCCAGCCTGAGCTCCACCTGCTGTACCACCCAGCCCTGCAAACCCCGAGAAGTGTAGGATTTGGGTTCTGATGGGAGAAACGCAGAGGGGACCACTGCTGGCCTCGGGTTTAGGACAACCAGAGTTCACCTAGACATCTGAATGGCCAAGGGGGCTCTGCAGAGTATTGGGGGTACTGCTCCCATCCTTGGCTGAGCCCAGTCCTTGCATCCTCCCCTACGGCCACAAAGCAGACCCCTCCCCCTGCCCTCAAATGGAGGTAGGGTGGGGCAGAGGGGGCTCTTCGGGTCTACCTGGGCTCCAGATGCCCACAGCCTTCCTCTCCTAGGAAGGCCTCTCGTGTGGGGAGGCCGAGGCTGAGCAGTGGGGGCCATGGGGAAAGTCAACCAGAGGCCAGAGGCCAGAGTGCCTGGGAGAGACAGGGGTAGGGTCCAGCCCTAGGAGGGTGACGGGCATGGAAGGCGGAGGCAGATGGCACTCTGGCGGGTCAGGCCCAGCCCCTGCTTCCCCCTCCTGTTGGGTGATTTACGTTATTAATAGAGCCGAGGTCCAAAGTTCAAAGGTTTGAGCGGCATACCGGTGGCAGAAAGGCCCTTGGCCCCCAGGCCTCATCTGCTCCATCGCTCCCACGCGCTCAACGAGAGAGACTGTGTCAGGCCCAAGCCAAGCCTGCCCTCCGCCCCCTGGAGAGGAGGTCGACCCCATAAACCCCGCATGTCTTGGGCTGCTTGGGCAACCCGAGGCCCTAGCCTGCACCCACGCCTGTGCCCCGTCCCCCATCACATACCATGCAAGGGCACATCTAGGACCCACACCACACCAAACACCCACAGGCCCTCTGTGTGACCTGGACCCCAAGGAACCAGGCCTGCTGGGGCTCTCCTGCGGCCCCTCCCCTCTGGTTTCTAAGGGACTGCCCAGTGTCCACAGGGACCAAGCCCCCCGATGACCTGAGACGAGACCCTTCACTTTCTGCAAACCGTTTCTGGCCCAGCTGCACCTGCACATGCTCAGCAGGAGCTACAGGGCCGCCCACCGGCAAGGAGTCAAATATCTCCTCGGTCTCCGGAGGCAGCAGGACCCCCGGCTCAGACCGACCCGGAGAAGCCTGGAGCCGAGCGTCTGAGGCCGAGGGTCGTTCCTTCTCGCCATTCTCCTTCTTGGTCACAATCGCAGTCATGTTCACCGAGGGCCCTCTGGGCCAGGCCCTGCCCCTGTGACCTCAGCCAGTCTCCAGCCCCCGCTGCCAGCTTGTTTGTGTCTGGTGTTTCTGTTAAGGAGTCTGTGACTTGCCCACAGCTCTCAGACCCCACGCCCCACAATTGTAACCACATGACCAGGAGCAGCTCTGTCCCTGATTCCGTGATATCTTGGGAGTCCCACTGGAGGAAGTTGAATGGTGGCCCCCAAAAGACACGTCCATCTGGATCCTGTGAACAGGACCTTATCTGGAAAAAGAGTCTTTGCAGATGTAACTGAGATGAGGACCTCCTGATGAAATCATTCTGGATTAGAGTGGGCCCTAAACACCATGACAGGTGTCCTTATACGTGGCAGAGGGAAATCTGGGAGGAAGGAGGGAAAGGCCACGCAAAGAGGGAGGCAGGGGTTGGAGAGAGTCGGCCGCAGGCCAACGCCCGCGTGGGGCCCCCGGGAGCTGGGAGAGGAGAGGCAGGCAGGACGCTCCCTTGGAGCCTTTGGAGGGAGTGTGGCCCTGCTGACAGCCAGATTGTGGACTTCCGGCCTCCAGACATGAGATAGCACATTCCTGCTGTTGTAAGCCAGCTCGTTTGTGGTCACTTGTTATGGCAGCCACAGGACACCAACCCCACGCTGGCCTGGCCCGGGGGCAGCTCTCCCCATCCTGGGCAGAAGGCGAGAGTGTGAGTTTCTCGAGTTTCTCCCGGAGAAAGTACACAGAGACAGGACGGCGGGAGGCGCCTTTCTCCCTCTCCGTTCCCAGGGCAAAGTGGGGCAGAGGGGAGCATTGCGCCATCAGCCACCCAGGGAAAGACCATCCCCAAACCTGCTCCGACAGCTGGGGAGGGAGGTCTGAGGCCTGGGGGCGCCTGGTTGAACTTGGAGTCACCAATGAGGACTCCAGGCAGCTCAAACTGGGTTTTGGCAGCACTGGGTTTTCTATCTGGATAAGGGGCAGCAGGACGGCCAGCCTGCAGGGAGTCTCTGCCGGGGCTCAGGGACCATGGTTTCTGCCTTCGCTCCTACAGGCTCTGTGAGTCTCTTTGGTTCTCCTTGTTGGGGTCACACAGAAACCTGCCCTCCTCTAACAAGGCTGCTCACGGTCCACCTCAACTGAGCACCCTGTGTCCAGAGCTTCTGGGGCTCCCCCCGGTATCTCACATCACCATCCCAGCTGCCCCACGAGGTCGGGATTGTTCTAGGTTATAAAGACGGGAACTTCTGCAGGGGAGCCCTCAGTCTGAAATGACTACCTTTCCATGTGTCCTGGCTGCCTCCTCACCCCACTCTTACCCCCGGCTGAATGGGGAGAACTTGGCATTGGTCTGTCTTTCTTCTTTTGAGAAAAAGCACTCCAACTGTGCTCCTGGAAACGGGAGATCAGAATGACCAACTTTCAGGGTCCCCTCCAACTGAGGACCACCTGATCTGACAGTGGGAAACTGAGGACCCTGAGGGCTCCCTTGCTCCCAGATGTTTCTGGGGCACTTGAGAGCTTCTCCAGACCTGCTGCCTGGCCTAGACTCCCAGCCACCTTCGGGTCTAGAGACACTGCCCCTACTCTGAAAATGTGGCGATTGGGGCACAGAAAGGTGGAGTGACTTGCCATGGGCCCACAGCATGTGAGGGACAATCAGGTTGATCTGCCCTGGCTGTTCTATCTCCTGTAACCGCAGCTGTCACCCCTAAGAGAGTCACGGGGCCAGTGGCACAGCAGGTGCTCGCTGTGAATTCCAGGGGAACGTCCCAGTCCATCCGCTGTTCTCAAAGGGCAGCCTGAGATGCTTCCCACCTGGCCACACACTGCCGAGGATGCCCCCTCCTGCCTGCCTGGCCTTTACCTGGCCGTCTGGAGCAGCGTGCATGCCTGGTCCAGTGAGGCACCCTGTTCTGTCTGGGGTGAGTGCACCCATCACTGGGTGAAGGAGGGACCTAGGACATCAGCTGTGGATGATGCTCCCGCAGGCTCTGGTGGCCCACCTCCCACTCCCACCTGCCTGCCATCCCAGCGTGGAAGTCCTCAGGCCAAGGAGGAGGTGAGGCCTGTGCTGCCTGCGCCCAGGCCCTTCTGGCTCCCTCAGCAGGGCTCTGCTCTGCCCTCGGCCCCCGCCTCCTGCCTGCTCCCAATTCTACCCAGAGTCTCCCTAAGGTCTGTATTGCCTGGCCCCAGCTCATCCAACGCCCCAGGAGGCCACTTTCACTGACCAGCCTCTTTCTGGATCATCTCCCCTGTCTCCCCACTGCTCTGCTTCCAGCCTCCGGGGAAATGCAGGAGGACACTTGGGCAGGGCGGGACACAGAGGGCCTGGGAGGACATAGACACCACAGTCCCAGACCTCGTGGGCCCAGGGCTGCATTGCCACCATGAAGCTGACCAAGAGAGAAGCACAGGTGGACAGACAGGCAGC